TCCCTCTTTCTTTTTGCTGTGATCCAATTTTATTTGTCTTCCTACTCCTCTCTCTACTCTCACCCACATTTTTCACCCTCTTTCATTCTCCCATTCTCTTATCATGTCATTGACCATCTGAAATCAATCCATTCCTCTTTTCCTCCCTCTTTCCATGCTTGTAGATTCTCTCTTCAAAACCACTTAGGTGTCAGAAGCATTTCACTCGCAATCCTTCAGCTGTTCATGAACACACACACACATATGCACATGCACGCTGACACAGTAACACCACTGCAGTGTAAAATCTATGCTGATGTGATCAGTGCAGATCGTGTTATTGACAGACAGCAATATTCCCACGATAGAAATGATTCACCTTCATCACTGTCAGTGTGTGTGTGTGTGTGTGTGTGTGTGTGTGTGTGTGCATGTGCGAGGATTCAGAACCCCTTCAGGTTTTTGCACACTTTGTGTTGTAGATTGAATTTTAAATGGAAAAAACTGTCATTTTGCCCATCAGTCTATACTCAATTACAAAGTGAAAACATGGAATCTATTAAATCAGAAACTGAAATCTCTTACATAAAACATATGTAGACCCTTAATTCATCTCCTAAAAGACCTGCTGGCAACAGTTACATCGAGTCTTCTTGGCTAGGTCTCTACAAGCTTTGCACACTGGGCGGTTTAGCCCATTCTTCATGACACGACTCTTCATGACTCCCAGGCTCTGTCAGATTCCCCAGACAGTTCTTGGAGTTCAGCCCAGAGAGTTCAGTTTTTGTCTCATCGGACCAGAGAGCCCTTCTCCTCCTTAAATGCAGTCTGACAAACTCCAAGCAGCTGCCGTCTGTCTTTTACTCAGCAGCTCCTGTCTCACCACTTTACCTTAAAGGCCTGATTGATGGAGAGCTGCTGAGATGGGTGTCCTTCCAGCAGGTTCTCCATCTCTGCAGAGGACTTCTGAAGCTGTGTTGGAGGGACCGTCAGGTTCTTGGTCTCCTCTCTGACCAAGACCCTCAGCATATAACTAAAGCATATAACCTCTGGATTTAGTCTTTTCTACTATCTTGGATGCTTTTCTCCCTGTATCTAATTTCCTTTAATTAGGCATCACTTTCTTTTATCTGTCATTTAATTTTTTTCTTGCTCTCATTTCTTCCTTTGTTTACTAGACCATCATTACTTGCTTGTTCCCTTCCTCTTATTTCACAACCTTCCATTCTCACTTTCTACACTTTCATACATACACTTTCACTACATAATCTTCCTTTAATGCTGTTTTAAAATCACTTTTATCCAAATTTTATTTCTTTTCTCTCACCTTTGCATTTCATTTTAGCTCATTCCCTGTTCAGTTATTCTGTTCTTCTTTCACCTTTTCTTTTTAACATTTTTGCTGATATTTACATTTCCTTTCCCCTAACCGTTTTCCCATCTCCTCTCCTCTCTTGTCCTCTCCTGTCCTCATTCCTTCCCTCCTCTGCCCTCTTGCCCATTCTTTATGATTTGAAGGCTCATTTGTTAAGAGGAGGTAAAGCACTCTCACTCTCCCCCTAGCCTCTTCCTGTCTCTTTTTGTGGGCTTTGGAAATATAATTTTCAATTTTTAATTTGATTCATTTATATTTGATCATTAATCTGTGCTGAGAGAGACTTAATTCGGTGGAAAATAGATGAGGTAGTTAGTGAGGGCTCTTTATGAAGTCAGCTCAGCACAGCACTGGGTCTTTTAGGTTTAAGGAAAAGAAATTGAGTCTTCATGTCAGAGTCTGTGTGTGGTAGAGAAAAAGGCAACATTTAACAGAACAGTGTGTTTGAGAGAAAGTGTGTGTATGTTGCCTTTAAGTGCAAGAGTGACAGGAAAAAATTATCTTCATAGACAGTCTGCTTTATATGTAGAATCTTTTAATGTTAATTAGCCATTATCGTATTTATTTTAACGAGGAATGTTTCTTCTTATACCAGACTCAATTTTTGTTGCTATACATTTGAACTTGTATAGCACTTTTCTATGCATTGCTGCACAATCAAAGTGCTTTCACACTATTTGCCTATTCACACTCCCAAGTGCGCACACACACACACACACTTACACACCAGTGGGACAACCACTGAGAGCAGCTTTGGGTGCAGTGCCTTGCTTAAGGCCCGTGACACACCAAGCCGACCGTCGGGCGTCCACGAGCGTCTGTGGCCTTAGTTCTTGTGGTGTGTCCCACACGGTTGGCACTAGTTGGACCATGTTGGTGGCTTTTCAGCCAACTCAGCACGTTGAATTGGTGAACGAGACAATCAAAAGCCCAAGGGCTGACAAGGCGAGTTCCATTTGCAGCTTCTTATCATATTCTTGATTAGAGGCAGTTATAAACTTTCTGTGGTGAGCGACAACTGCTTTGTTTACAGTTTGTATAGCTGCAATCTTCTTCATCTTCTCCTTTTCGATTGACAAACACAGTATATACTACCGCCACCTGCTGGTATGGAGAGTCATTCCCTCTGTAGCCTTTGCAGTGTTCAAGTGCCACTTTTTGGTCCCAACAAAAGTGAAGTTGGCTTTCATAGTAGCTAGTTTTTCAATGCCAGTTTTGACTTGTAGTAGCTAAGGCAGAGAAAAAATGATTTATTTTGCTTAAGTTGGACAGAATTCATCCTCCTCTTTCACAGAGTGAACAGTGAGAAATGACAGACAGTAAGGTTTCAGACTCTTCTCTGTGTATTTCTCTGAGCTGGGTACTGTATAACACTAATATCTCAGAATCTGACTAAATCTACCATTTTAAGCAACACAACTGTATTTGTGCACAAATTATTATAGCTTATTGCTCCAGTTATTGCTCCCGACTGGGGTGCAGTAACTAGGGAGGAACACGAGTTCCCTGGAAGCAGTATTCGTTTCCAGTGCTTGCATTGCTTCAGGTTAACTGCTCCCACAGGTAACATTAAAGTCACTGCTGTTTACTTCAACTTTGGTACCATGCTGCCTTATTAAATGAGTGGCCAGGCTCATGGTACCACTGATAAAATTGATGGTATCATAAGAGATGCACGGTACAGACATGGGAAGCAGAGACGTTTGGCCAAAATTGCTTTCTGACTCAAACCCTTTGTTTTATTCAGTCTTTATTCATCCTCCCTATCCACACATCAACCTTCCCCCTTGCTTCTGCCATCATCTGCCTCTACTAAGCCTGTTTCTGCTCTCTCTTCTTCTGGCCAACCACTGACCCTGGTAGTGCCTGAGCGAGCTGCTTGTTGAGGCTTACCCAAACACACCACAGTGGTGTGGGTTAGTGTGTGAATGTGACAGAGAAAGCAGAGCGTGGGGGTGTGACCGGGTTTTTACCCCCCAGTGGTAAGAGTTTCTTGACCGTTTGCTGACACCGGGCCCCCCACTGTACCTGGACTGTCAGCCCTTCTGTCTACCTGTCTCCGTTTCAAGCATACACACACACTCACAGATGCATGTCATGTTCAGTTCACTGTGTTGACTGCTGCCTGGGCTAGTTAGAGCTTTGTGATGACTACATTTCCATAGAAAGCATGCACACTCGCATCACAGATGCAACATGTACAAATACAAAACACGTAAAAAAAATGGGGAAAGATGTACATACAGTCAATTACAAATGCTAATTAATACACAAACATGCTATGTGTCTTTATTTCTTTGCCGTTAATAGGAGGTCTTTCTGAGAAATGTCTTTATTGTTTTAAATGTGGTCGGGACATTTTTTAGAGCATTTAAATCTCTCTGTCCATGTGTAATATAAATCCTTACTGTTTGAAATGTCGCTATTAATATACATTAAACATTTTGGTTTCATTTTATGTGGGGGTATTTTTGAATGTTGAAAATCACATTTGAGTTATTTTCAGTAACTGATCTTAATACTTTGCCTTAAAACCAACAACATTCATACTCTTACTTAGTGAGTCAGTGACAGACCAGCTAATTTGCCCTCCCACTTCTTCTCAGGTCACTCACACAGTCAGTGTGTAGCACTTTCTGTTTTTCTTGGTGTCTGTTGTGCACTAGTGACATTTCTCTGGTACTTATTTTAAATGACACCACTGATGTTTTGCAGGTAGATGTGAAATTCATTGCTTTCTGTGTGCATGTGGAGTCTTCGCTGAGAAAGATCAGTTTTGTTACATCACATCATTGCAATTCAAAAGACTTCAACTGACATGGTGTAGTTAAACAACAGTCAGCATAGAGGAGTATAAAACATTTCATTTGCTATGCAAAAGTCAGATTAATACTTAAAATTTATGTGAAAATAAAAGAATACAGTACAGAGTTTTTTTCCCTGAAGCATTTCTGAAGAACACATCTTACCCACATTGTCTTCCACTTAAATGGTAAAGACAACAAATAGCTTAGGCTTTATTTTCAAACATTTGACAGCCCTTTTCAGTACCTCCTCTCCTCTCCTCTCCTCTCCTCTCCTCCTCAGGTTACATGACACCTCTGTCTTCTTTATCCATCTTTAAGTGGTAACCACGGTAACATCCAGTCCCCTGAGAGATAGGCCTAATTAAATTAGGGCTCCTTTGTGTCAATTAATTAACAGAAGAGAGAGAGCAATAGAGAGACAGAGATTGGGCAACTGGGCAAGAGACAGGAAAGTAAGAGAGAGGCCCTTTTACTCGGATAGTCTCCATAAATTTGTCTTGTAGAATAAAAGAGGCAAGCAAGTTTAGCAAGCTTGACGATAACATAAAAGTGTCTGCATGCATAACAGACACACACATGCAAGAACTGCAGAAAGAGCACAGTTATCACCGAGTCACACTCAAATCTAACCTTCCTCCATTTCACACTGTTCCTCTCTCTCTTCTTTCTGTTTGCTGTCACTCTGTCTTTTCATGGTCCTTGTATGCTTGCAGATTTTTTTAGCCTTCTTGTCTTGTTAAGTGGACAAAAAAGGTCAGAATCTCTCTTTGCTCTTCTCTTTAAGCGAGTGCTATGCACAGCGTATTGACCCATATTTCTCTGTCTGTCATTTCTTACAGGTGTTCGTCTTGACAGGGTTCGTGGTGGGAGACAGAAGTATAAGCGCAGGATAGATGCTGACAACAGTCCATACCTGAACCCACAGTTGGCCCTGCCCCCAAAGAAGCCATGTAAGGGCACACACACCAAAAAAAAAACTGACCGTTAAGAGTATATGTAATGAACCTTTTGAGGCTGAGCAGTGACTTTCAAGGACAAGAATTTGCATATGCTGTCCTCAGTGTAACTGATACTCTACAAATGGCCATATGTGCTACATATGTGGCAGCACCATGTGACATCATGTGCAAAGGAAACACTGAAGAACATACAATGGACTGCACATGAGTAACATTCTCTGTAGAAATAAACAGAAAATATTCAGATTCATATACAGTATACTATTTCAAAGTGTAGTCAGGGCTTGGTCTTTAGGAACCTGAAGTATAAAGAGTGACTTTTTCATTCGTTTTTGTTCCACTGGAGACAGTTGGACAGTAAAACCATTTAAACACACACACACACATGCACACATACACACATAAATAGACACAGGGTAATGAGAAGCCCATCTGTTTGGGACCAAGTTTATCTCCCCGTCTCTACTGCTACCAGTTTGGGGTCATAACATTTTATATGTGTAATATTTCACTGTAAAGGTATTCATTTACTTCCTGCTGGATTGGTTGTGTTTTTTCTAAAGAATAAAACTGTCGCCAAAGTCTGATGATTGAAAAAATTAACAAGGGAGAGAGTGAGTGAGAGGGACAGAGAGACTGAACCTAAATGAGAGGGTTTCTCAGAGAGGGAGAAAGACGAAGAAGAAGGGGAGAGGGAGCCCAGCCAGAACCCTAATCCGGATTAAATCCAATCTGGCAACCCTATCAAAACTGGAGTGAGCTCTCTAGCTAACCGTCTGCTTGGACACATAACACACACACACACACACACACACACACACACACACACACACACAGGGTGCAGATTTAGCGTGTTTAGCAGCCTGGTCCCCAAAGCCCATTTTACCTAAACTGGAGCATATTCTGCTTTAAGCCAATATGCTGAATGGCTGCACGGCAGTGTACCAGGACTTTTGCGTCACTAATCATTGAGATGATGGGATACTGTGAGTGCGTGGACACTGTTTGTGTGTGTTTACATACACAGATCATGTGTGTGCTCCCACTAACTGAACGTGTTCACTGGTGGGAATTTATTATTATTTCTATCAAGCATTTGTCACATTGTGGGTGAATTTCAACATAAAATGATTTTACTTATTTATTTACTTATTATAATTTATTTTACTCAACCACTCCAAATAATAATTCAGGCTTTAACCCCTATGTTAAATGTTTTCCTTGATATATATTATGCATGAACACAATGTCTCTCTGCCAAAGAAAACCTACACTTCTACACTTAACAAGGAACACAGGGTTGATATAGACTTCCTACAACTCTCTTTTTCCTTCTGTCTCGCACACAGTCGATACACACACACAATCTCTCTGTCTCGCTCAGATACACACACACACACAGCCTATCTATCTGTAGCCCAATCCCTAGCCTCAGCATCCTCATTGATTGTGTGAGAACAGAACAATAGCCCAGGGTTTGGAAATGGGCTTCCATTGATTCTAATTAGGGAAACATTAAATAAGATTTACCCACAGATACTGCAGTGTGACTGGGATTGGTTGGGCTCAAACGACCCTGCAGCTGGAGCTAGAAGGAACAGGATGGAAAGAATATATATGTCATATATATATATATATGTACAAATGTGTGTGTGTGCGCAACAGAACTGGGGGTGGAGATTGTTAGATCAATACACAACTCATCCCCCAAACTCTGTTTCACTCTCTCTGGCTGTTTATCTCTATCTAGCTGTCGCTCTCTCTACTCTTCCTGTCTGTCTTTTACAATCTGTCCACGGCTTTATTCCTACCTGTCTGTCTTCTCCCAGTTTTTTCATTGCTTATCTATCTCCCTCTCTTTTTTTTCTCTATCCCTCACTCTTGCTCCTCTATCCTCTGTTATTATTCCCATGCTTGATTAGTCAGTGGATTAATTTGGAAGCAGGGTATCAGTCTGTTACTAATGGGCCATAGAGATCTCATCACCACATGTCACTGTTACCAGATGAGCTGTTTGGCGTTCGGTATTATCTTTCCCTTCTGAATGTATCTACAAAGCTTCTTAAGGCTGTGATACAAAAGACAGCATTTTGGGCAACCTGAATCACCAACAGTAATCACCTTTAATCACACCTTGGAGCATTCCCTATTATGGAAGCATTTCAATAATTTTTGATCTTTTGTCAAGTGCATTTTCATTTTCCTGCCAAATGACTGAAATCAAATCAATTATCTCCTGTTTGATTGTTGAAAAATTCCAAAGGACATTACAAGACATTGTAGTCAAGCATCTTAGCTGCTGTTCCCATTGCATATTTATAAGTGAACCGCAAAAAGCTGTAATGATGATTTTTTTTCCAATTTCTATACAATACTTTTGATAGTTTTTAAAGTAAATGTGCTGTTTGCCATCTTTAAAGGTGTATTTACATTCCAAGGTATTCCAGAACCAAATACTGTATGTTTAATATGTTTCTTCATGTTTATGTGCAACGTGTGCCGTGTATTGTCACATACTGAAATCATGTATGATCAGTCATGTATAGCATTATGATTGGTGTGCTGTATCATATTTCCTCATATGCAGCGTGTCTGGCTTTTTTCCTTTGGTCCAGGGGTTTTCAACCAGTGGTCTGTGGCCACATGGTGGTCCGCGAAGGCATTGAAGGTTGTCCCTGACCGTGCCTTCAATAATGTACTGAGGTTTCACTGTAGGAATCATAATTTTTTCTTTTTATTTATGAAAAACAGTTCCATGTATAAAAAATTTTTGAATAATCAAATTCATACAAATATCTGAAATTTACAAAAGATAAAGTGACTTTCATGATTAAAGTAGTGCCCATCTGGTCTGTCCACCCTACAACAGTTGCCCTCAGGTTATTTCTTAGGCAGAATCGTGGTCCCCAGGACACAATTAGTTGAAAACCCCTGCTTTAGTCTAGTGTCCAGCTCAGACATAATGCCTTTAGACATACAGGGTATGTGTTACCTAACAGGCCATGTTGCCAGGGACTTTGCATATGACCTTTCACATTTTCTCCCCGACTTGGTGTGGAACAGTTTGTAGCCTAAAACGACCAAAATTCACCATCTCTTTGTCTCTGTGTCTTTCTCCTTGTCTGGTGGTCATGTCAGTTGCCTTTGGCTGCCTTGCAGATAACAAAATCGTCTCTCACCTGCTGGTGGCCGAGCCAGAGAAGATCTACGCCATGCCTGACCCAACAGTACCAGACAGCGACATCAAGGCCCTGACTACACTTTGTGACCTGGCGGACAGAGAGCTGGTGGTCAACATCGGCTGGGCCAAACATATCCCAGGTAGGAGGAAAAAACTGCTGAGCCATGACTTTCACACTGAACTTAACCTGATTCCTTGTTGCTGTCAACACCCACATATAGTTACTACATATTTTTTTTCAGTTCCAAAGTATAGGAGATCTTATACGCACACAAACATACATAATATGTGAACTGGTGGAGAGTGTATAAAGTCAGAATCAACCACTTCAGAACCAAACAGTTGATGAATGCATGCAGCCATAACAGTTGAAACAAAGAGAAAGATGGAGCAAAATGTAAGGGAGGCGGAGCTGAAAAGTATAATCTGGTTTTGGTCTTAGTGACAGAGCCTGCTGTGACAGCGCAGAGGAAGGAAGAGTGGTTTCTCAGATTAACACAGATTAACACAAAGATTAGTCTCATTGTCAAATGGAAATGTGGTTTTAGAATAGCACAGAGTAGAACTTCCCCTGTTTCCACTGCTCAATCAGCACAGGAGGTTGTAAAGCTATAGGGGGAAACACCAGATTAGAGACATAAATACTGCGCAGTCTTGATGCATAAATCTATAACAGTAAAGTCAATGGTATTGGAGAACAGGGTCTCCAACATGATGTGTATTATATCATATTAATAAATGTGAAAATAAGAGAGAGAAATGGGAGATAAAAAGAGGGAGAAAGACAGAGATGGAAATATACATCACTTCTTGTTATTGTATTGATCTATGTGCTGCTAAATGGACAATAAGCAGACATATAGATTGATCCATGCATTTAAGCATCGCTCTTTGACTATTTATTTTACTCTTTCAAAACAACATATAGCCTCATTCCAGTACTATCTTATTTCCTCTAGTTTTCCTGTGACCCTTTTTTACTTTCTCTTTTAATCCATTTACCTCTCACTCTATATGTATTTCCTTACCACTGGGATGCATCTCCTGAAAATAACACAGATACACAAAAAGAACTCCGACACTTAGACAGATATACACAATAACTTATACATGATGTATATGTGATTGCTCTGCATTGTAGCTTGCCTTTTCTTTGGCCCACTACTGTTACCAGTGAGTAGACTGAGTTAGCCAGGGTTATTTGCTGGGCTGAGTGTGTGCGTGTTATGTGTGTGTGCAGCTTTCTTTGTGGAGGGAGCAAAGCGCAACAATTGCTGGGCGGAGGAGAGAAGATGGCGTGATTAGATGAACGAGAAAGGCAATCCACTGCTCACAGAGAAAGATAGAACTCTTCATCTCCCAAGTGTGTGTGTCTGTGTGTGTGTGATGTGAACGCCTTATGAAACCGTCTCTGTTTACAACATTGAGCCCTGATCTAATACTCATACACTATCACCCACACATACATGTACAAAGTGATCTACTGTTCACTCTGGGTGGAATGGATTGTCAGAAAGAAATACACCTCCTCAACATTCTTTATCAGCCTGTTACACGAACACACACACACGAGGCAAACAATAAAGAGTCTGCAATGACTTTAGCCTTGAATAGAATAGACCAGTTAACCTTTTTTGCAGCCGTCTTGTTTCACATCTTGTCAAATGTGTATATGTGTGAGATAACTATGTGCAGCGTGTACATGTGAGCACACACATGCACACGACTTTGCTCGCTATGGTACAGTAATTTTTTAATCAAATTGATGGAGAGAGACAGAGAGACAAAGAGAAAAAAGACAGGCAGAGAGAGGAGAAGTAAAGCCAATTTATGCTTCATGATATGGTTGCGCAGCACTGCATTCACGCACGCACACTCAGGCTGCTAACAGTGGTAACAACGTGTCAAGGCAAGCGCCAGGCAGCTAATTTGAAGTCATTAGATGTGTGCCGTACTGGCAACAATTTGTTACGCTCACACACGCACAAACACACACAAAAACACATCACATACACACACTGAGTTAAGAGCCGTCTGCGGATAGCGAGGGGGCTAAATTGTAAACTAATTTAAACATCACTCAGTGTTAGAGAGGCTGCCTGCAAGACAGGCCCCCAGATAACAAGGCTACGGTACGTGTGTGTGTGTGTGTGTGTGAGTGTGTGTTGCTAGTCATGTTTGACACACGGTCGCCCAACCTTTGAGGCTTCTGACAACACACACACAAATATACACACATATCTCTTTGATTGGTTCTTTTCTTCTAAAGCCCGATGTGTGTGTGTCTGTGTGCGTGCTCATTTCCATACTGATATGGACTATGTGCAAACATTTGATATGTCACTAGGAGAGGAAAATGAGGTTTCAGACACAGCGTGTGTCTCTCTCGTTATCCCACGAGGAACGAGCCACGCACGTGCCACTCACACATGCTCATGTGTGTTTGAAAGAGATGAAGCACAATGAAATGCATGCAAACACTTAAAGGATAAGGCCAGTCGTTTTCTATATTAATGTTATTTTCAACACTCCCCATACAGACTAAAACCAACGTGTCAGTCCTGGATCAGCTTGTTAGTCTGTGCCATAGACCTCACTATTAGCTCAAAAATGATTAAAAACACATCAGTGAAACACACTGGTGACTTGTTTCTTCATTAGCAAACACCAGACCCAAGCGTGAGGAGCTAGAGGAATGTATACAAAGCAGAGAGCTCGCGCAAGATCTTGTGCTTGTGCAGTTGACTATGACTTGTGCTAACTTCAGGAAATTATGGCTGCTTGGAGCCTTTGGGGCAAAATAGTTGGGTCTGGAATTTTGATATGAAAAAAGATGTCAACGTGTCTTGCAAACACGGGCAAGAAGTAGAAACATTTTTGCTGATTCAAACAGTGGGCAACACATAAAGTGAACCTATACTGTACATACATATGTTCACACACAGATGGGCGACAAATTAAAGAAAAAACTACCATGAATTGAACAATATACACTTTATCAACTACTCTTCTAAACTATATGACCCATATGGTCATTTGTCCCTTCCCTTTTACGCGACCTACAGTATAGGAGTATCTCCTGAAATAGCGGTCCTACATTATCAGGCAGAATTCTGCCAACGTTAACAACAGCATATGTTGCACCAGCACCCTTTGCTGTTTTTTTCACAATGGAAACTGCCATAAACACAAGGGCAAGTGTGCTGGGACTCTGTCGTGATGGAAACTGTTATAAACATTCTGTGAATAAAAAGATAAATCAAATAATAAAGAAAAATAATCCTTATTGATCAGTGACTCCTGTATGTATTTACTTCTGCTTATTTATTTAGGGTTTCCTTTAATTTGTCACACATCTGTCTATTCAGTAACTGAGCAGTGAGCATCACACTCAGGAAACTGAGCATGTAAAAATATCATAGGAGTTATTATTCAGAGGATGTGAAAGGCCTTAGCATCCAATAATATGGATTAGGGAGGAGACGGTCTCATTTTAATAGCTCTCAAAGAGACAACTCCAGATGCATATTGGGCTGCATATCATAGCCAAGTGTGTTTGTGTGTGTTTGAAGGAGGAAGGTGAAGAACGGCAAATATTTAACCAGGAGTGAATGAGAGAGTGAACTAAAAGAACAAAAGACCCTTCAAAATGAGCTATTTATATGTGTGTAGAATTAGTCCTTTCATCCCCTCTTTTCTCTTCTCTTGTTCTCTCATCCTCCCTCTGTTTTTCGCTCCCTCTCTTTATCCCTCTCTCTCTCCACCTAAATGAATACCGGGCAGTCATGCTAGCAGCTCTTATCTAGACTTGTGGACACAAAAGGGAAAGACAGACAGGCGAGCACTTGACGAAAGAGCAGAGAACGTACAAATGAATGAACGAACAAGAGCCAGAACCTATAACACAGTCTATTTTACCAGAACTAGGGGCCTTGCCATTAGTGCTTTTTATTACAACCCCCTCCCCCATTCTTTCTTTATTCAAAAAAGAAATTGCTCTCGGGCCACCCCCCACATCCCCTCCACTATTCTCTTGCTTCCCTATCTGCTCTTACTTGCTCTTTCTTTTCTTACAGTATTTCTCCCAATCTTTCTTTCATTCCTCTTTCAATTTTGACACTCAGGATAAGCGGTTTATGTGTCTGCAGCAACGCAGTCTGATTGAGCTGTAAAAATGGAGGAGAGGAGGGGGTTTGCTGTTGGTCTATTCATTTAATCGGCCTTTATAGAGATATGAAATAAGGAGTTTGGGTGGCGGTGATGGTGATTGGATAGTAGGTGAACAGGGAAGTCCTCTTACTTCCTGTGCAAGCTTCTCATTCACTTGGTTTTTAGTCTGTCTCTTTATTATTCCTTCTTCCTCCTTCTTCATCTGGATTTGGAGATGAGCATGAGCCTGTTTTTCCTCAGTGATCATGGTTGTTAGTACAAGCATCCTCTGGTGGGTTTTTAATTAAATTAGCTGAAGATTGTAAACATGCTGAAAGTGTGTTTCTGCTGTTTTATTTTAGCTCTGCTCTGAACAGCCTGCTTCCTGTTTTGCACCATGCAGCACAATGTAAGGTTGAGTCTTCAGTCAGAGGGCTTCTCATGCCTCTTTAATTATAATGAGTCTCTCTTTCTGTTTCCAGATGATTGAGCAAGTAAGGTTCAGAGCTCCTCTATGGTCAGGAGGAAACCCCTAATACTACAATAGGAAACTCTTGTGTTTGGGAACTACATACTCTGTAACTTGTGGGGTCCCTCGAGGCTCAGTCTGAGGTTTCATGATCTTTTTCCACTGATAACCAGGAGTGCTGAATGTTATACAAGTGTTGAAGCTTAATTTTACATCTAACCTTTCACCAGTAACTTGCACTGGCATCATAATTGACTTGTCTCTTTTCAATGGTCAACAAAAGAACAGCTAGCTGCCAGAATTGTGCAGAAACTGTCTTCTTCTCTTACTTTTTTACTAAATGTTTTACTTACTATGTCATGAATACTTTGTTAAAAATGATTTGATTTCTATACATAATGAGAGATGTGAAATTAAATATTTCAAATCACCTTCCTCTGTATGTGATTGAAAAGCATAGGATGTGAAAGAGAATGACAAACTAGAAGATGAGGTTTAAAACAAAATGTACAAGGGAGAAGT